GCCACCGCTGTGAAAGGAAAAGTGACAGAGTTATCCGGTGATCAAAGGAACCCTAAAGTTTGGTTTAAAACTTTCAACTTGTCACCGCCGATTCACTCTTGGCACAACTCAACAACTGCAACTACGACCATCGAGGCTGCAGAAGCTGTTGTTCGCACCTGTCATGAGGAGGGCATTCTTTGGAGCATTTCAGGGCCGGCCACTTTGAGGCTGTGGCCGCCACGTCTCCTTGCGGCCTTTGCTGAGTTGTGTGCCCATCAAACATCGCTTGATCTCTGCATGTTTGGTGCTGGGTGGAAGCTTCCCACTTGTGTCTTCCACAGCTACAGTAGACTCTCGTCTCTAGGCGTTTCCTGCTCTGAGAATCATTCGCATTGCACTCGACTGGAACCGAAACTCGTGCTCCCGCCTTTGTTCTGTGCTGCGTTTGTGGAGTGCCTCCTCAAACAGCTCTTCGACTTAGGTGCACAGGCTCCAGCGAGGTGCCTTCCAGATCAACACATTAGCCTTTCGCGAGCTGCCGCGCTTATGGTGGGCAAACAGCCCAAGGGCAAACGCCTCAAACCTCTGGTTGCTGAGTTTCGCAATCTTGTTACGCTGCAGGGTGACCCAGGTGTCCTTCCTCTAGGCAAGCTTGCTGCCCAGTGGGAAGCTGCAACCACAAGCTACCAGCAGGCACGAAGTGTGTTCGTTCGGTCCCGACCTCGGGGGGCGGCTCTCAGGACCTCTCTGCTGCCTCTGTTCCTTCGGTTGACCGCACTTATGGAATTCCGTGGTCCCCGACCGAGTTTCGTTCGGAGGCCCTGAAACAGGGACACCCCAAGCGCCTCGAGTGTGGCGTGCCCGATCCCCTTAAGGTTGTGGTTGATAAGATAGTCTCGACCTCCTATGCTGACATTGCCAAGGATCGCACTCAAGCCATGAGGAAGTGGCTTCTTCGAGCCTGTGAGTTAAAGGATCTGGAGCCTCCATTTCCTACACCTGATCATTGCCGTGCTGTTCTCAAGAACAAATCCATGCCGCTTTTTGCAGAGATGCTTGAAGCTGCCAATTACCCCGACAAGGATCTAGTCAGGACTATGTGCTCTGGCTTCCATCTCCTTGGCCAGATCCCTGCCTCGGGAGTTCTTCCCGAGAAGCACACGGACGCACTGCTCACCATCGACGAGGTTCGTAGCCTGACTCCCGAGGTTCGCAGTGCGATTTTGCATCAGCGTGATGATGGCAAAGATTTAGAAATCTTGACTGCGGTGCATAAGCTTACCTTGGAGGAAAGGGACAGGGGCTGGCTTCGTGGCCCCCTTAAAGCCTCCGAGATACCGAGTGACTCTGTGGTCACCAGGCGATTTGGGATCAAACAATCAAGCACTGATGTCGACAAGGGTAAAGTGACCAAGATCAGGCCGATCGACGATTACACACAATCGCTGGCCAACCTTACGTGCGGCTCTACGGAGACAATCTCCCCCCATGGGGTAGATGTCATATGTGCTGGCATTTCCTACAGGATTCGGCGTGGTCGTCAACTTGGCTTCAAGGAGCGGCTGGTCAGTCGAGCGATTGATCTTCGCAAGGCGTATAAGAATCTTCCGCTCTCCACGGCAGCGCTCCGCGATTCTTATTTGGCTGTGCTTTTCCCTGCAACATCTCAATATGAATTCTTTCAGGCCTTGGTATTGCCCTTCGGGGCCCGACCTGCTGTACAGGGGTTTTATCGTGTGGCTTCGGCCATATGGTATCTTGCCCTGGTCTTCTTTGACCTTCATTGGACGCAGTTCTATGATGATTACTTCTTGATTGCTGGGGAGGCCGAGGGACCACATGTCAACCTCATCCAGGAGTCCTTTTACGCCCTCTTGGGCTGGGAAACGGCCTCCGAAAAGGATTGCGGGTTTGGGTTTGTCACCCGCGCGCTTGGAGTACAGATTGATCTTTCAGATTGCCATTTTGGATTGGTCAAACTGAGCAACACGATGTCAAGGCGACGTGAGCTTGAACTGGCCATAAACGAAATTCTGGAGAGCTCTTCAGTCCCTGGCTCAGTGCTTACCTCTCTTCGTGGTCGATTGTGCTCTTTTGCGACAATCAGATTTTTGGCCGGATGGCAAGCGTTCAGCTTCGAATTCTCTCGAGCTATTGTGATCGCAGAGGACAGGTTCGCTTGAACGACTCGCCGAAGAAGGCCCTAAGCTTTCTGAGAGACCATGTTGCACTTGGCCCCGAGAGGATTGTGCGCTGCTCCTTCCGAAATTGTTTTCATGTCTACTCGGATGCTTCCTACGAGCCGAGTGCGGGTGGTGTTGGTGCCCTCGCTTACAACTCCCAAGGTCTGCTCTTGAGCTGGTTTGGTGAGGAGCTTTCGCAGGACGTGATGGCCATTATCAATCCAGAGGAAAAATGCACTCTCATTTACGAGCTGGAAACATATGCTGCAGTGATGAGTCTTGTGCGGCTAGGTCGATTGTGGCGGGACTCGGATGTGATCCTCTTTCTCGATAACGAAGCCTCGCTGGCCACTCTCATCAATGGTAGATCTGACTCTTTTTTCGTGCAAAGGCTCCTCAACACTCTTTTCGAGTGGGAGTGCGAATCCAGATGTAATGTCTGGTTTGAGCGCGTGCCCAGCGCTAGCAATCCAGCAGACGATCCATCTAGACTCATCTTTCCGATGCAATCCGGACTTCGTGCAAGGCTTGACGCCAAGAGCGACTTCGTGCTTCACGCCGTCGGCCTCTCCTAGGGGGGGTCTCACCAACTTGTTCCGCACTTCGTCCGCCCATGCTAAAATGAAGAGGAGCGAGTGATTGCAACTTTCTTTTATTATATATATTCGACGGCTGTCTATCGTGCCGAACTCTTTTGTTATTTCTTCATATATATTTGAATGATGTTTGCAAATAAACCCGAAGGAATAAGGTTCCCCGGACATACAAAGGGGAGCCAGTGCTGGTGGACGGGATGTGGGTTGGCATCAGCGAGCACAACGGCACGGATTGGATGATGACCGAGTTCGGGGCAGTGCAAGCTACATCGGCGCGGCGCGCAAGCAAGGAAATGCAGCTACCAACCAAGGAGCTTTTGGCTAAGTACCACGGCCTGCCGTGGGAAAAGACCACTGTGGAGAAAAAGCGGCGCAAACGAGCACCAGTCCTTCCTGTGGCCGCTCCTCTTGCTGATCCCGGTGGTGCCCCTGACCTTGCCGCGCCGTTGGGCAACGCAGCAGCTGATGCCGAGCAGCAAGGAGATGTGCAAGCAGCCGGTGGAGATGAAGCAGCCTCGGACCCCTCTTCTTCGTCCGAGGAGCTTATGGCTGATGATGGTGGCACCCCGGCCGCCGAGCGCAAAGCTGAGGAGGTTGGCCTTGACGACGCAGATCGTGCCAATGCAGCGGCCATTCCGAGCCCATGGTGCGCGCGATCGAGACCGTTGACGCAGATTGGTTCGAAGCCGGCGCTGGGATCATTGAGCCCAGCGGCCCCAGCCCCGATGAGGATGAGTGGGAGGTCGTTGGGCAACCCACAGATGAGCCGCCCAACTTGTCTGAGGCCGAGCTTGAGGTGCTGGACCACGAGGCCGAGCGCTACGAAACAGAGCGCCTAAAGCTCATGGGTGTCCTCCGCGAGCCCACCCACGAGCTGAACTACTACGAGAAGCTCACCGTGACCTTTGTGCACAAGTGGAAGCACGGCGGTGAGAAGGAAGGATGGTGGCGGCGAGCACGGTTGGTCGCTCGCCAATATAAGTGGGCAAGCGAGATGGGCGATGAGGAGACGTTCTCTCCAGCCTCAATCACCTCCCTGTCGCGTCACCTTCTTTTGCTGGCCCAGGAGTGGAACACGCCTATATGGATATGCGATGTGAAAGACGCATATTTAAACGTGGAGCAGCCCCCGACGAGCCGGTGGTGGTGCTGATTGGCGACCACTACTTCGAGCTTGGTCGCGTGCTCCCCGGACAACGTCGTGGCGCACAGGTGTGGCGGCGGCAGCTGCAAGGAGACCTCAGCGAGTGCAACATGGAGGGCCTCCCTGAGGTGCCCGCTTTGCTTCGCAGCCTTGAGGGCCGACAGGCCACCCAGGTGCACGTGGATGATATGATGATGACGGGCGGACGAGGAGCCAGCCCACCAACAAGGTTGTCTCCACCCTGAAGGATAAGTACGAGATGAAGGTGCAGGGCCCCTTCGGCTCCCCGGGCGATGAGTGGAACTTCTTGAACCGTCGGTACACCATTGAGGAGGATTTTTCCATTACGGTGCGGCCCGATGCGAAGTTCTACATCGACATCAATGAGATGCTGGGGCACCCACGTGCCCGCTCCACTCCCGGACCGGGTGGAGGCGACAGCTTGTTCAACGTGGACACCACCAAGCCCTTGGACAGTGCAGACTCCCGGCTGTTCCGGACCATGGTCGGAAAGCTCTTGTACCTGAGCAACGAGCGGCCTGATGCCCAGGTGGTGATACAGTACCTGGCCTCCAAGTCGAGCTGCCCCACGGAGCAGTCGATGAAGATCCTCAAGCACCTGGCTGGCTACTTGTATGCCACCCGAGACTATGGCGTGAACTTAAAGAACCGAGCTGGTGCGTCGATCCTCCGGGGCAACCACATCAACCACGACCCGGTTTGCAACGCCTTGGTGGAGGCCGTCAGCGACAGCAACTTTGCGAACGACCGCGAGACCCGCCGAAGTTTGTCTTCAGGGCAGGTCTACCTCAACTGCGCGTTGGTGTACAGTTTCGTGAGGAACATGAAGGTCGTCACTCTGTCGAGTGGCGAAGCAGAGCTTGTGGCACTGACGCAGACGGTCTCGGAAGCAGTGCTCATCAAGAAGGCTTGGGCTTTCATCTTTGACGGCCCGGTGGACATGATCGCCCGCACTGACTCAAGTGTGGCACGGGCAATCGCCCAAAGAGCAGGCGTCGGTAGAGTACGTCACCTGCAGACTTCATGCCTATGGATACAAATGTGGACAGCCTCTAAAGAGCTCAAGGTCCTGGCCATTCCCACCGAGACCAACCCAGCTGATGCTGGAACAAAGGTACTTACCGGAGCACGGCTCAAGAAGCTATGCGGCTTGATGGGCATGGTGGATGGCAGCGGCAACTTGATCAAGGACGACACCAACCACAAGGCCAAAGCTGGAAATGCGATCAAGGTGCTCATGGTGGGGAATTCGGCTGCCACCTGGTCGTGGACCGCTCATAGGCAAGCACCTTCTCCTTCAGGTCTTGGTAGGTGCTCTTGTCAGTCAAACTCATGTGAATTTGAACTTGTAGGGCCTGGGGGCACGCCTGAACCAAAGTCGACAGCTTGAGGTCTTCATTATACTTTGTCCCGGAAATGCGCTCATACTCCCTGATGATTTCCTCGCAGCGGGAGAGCTGTTCCGCAAGCGAAACTTTGGCATCAAACTTCACGTTGGACAGCTGGTTTGCTAAAGCGAGCTGGCGCTGTCTGGAACATGGCTTTAAAGCCTCTTCAGTTGAGCCACCTCGAGCCAAACAGCTGCAAGCTAGGGTTAGGGCAAGGTAAGGGACAGGCACTACGAACCCAAACCAAAGGCAACACACCAAGACAAAACCTTAAACCGAGAGCCCTTGCACACACTCGGACACAGTCTCACTTTTTCCTTTCGGTGTCGAACGGGATTCGTCGCATCAGTCGCTCTCAGGCGAGAGGACACTGAAGCAGGCAGGGCTTGCAGCCCGAACACTTTGAGCAAGACTCGTCTAAGACGAAAGCACAGTGAAGTTTGCAAGCTGTCTCAACGAAGCACAGTGAGGTTTGCAAGCTGTCTCGACGAAGCTTTCTTCAAGGCGCACAGCAGGGCGTGCTGCTCTGGAAGTGGTGCACAGCGAGGCCGCGTGCAACTCTGCAAGCTACGGAGTCAAAGCAAGTTTCACCCC